CTCGTAGGGGGATACCGTCGGTCTCACGCTGGACGGCAGTCGATTCACTAGGTACACGACTGTGTGCATTGCCTCAGCCCACCAACGTTTCTCCATATTGTATTGATAGATCATCGACCGCGCCATCTCCGCAATCGTCCTGCTCATTCGTTCCGCTACACCATTTTGCTGCGGCGAGTAAGGGACGGTTGTCTGGTGGATAATCCCATGTTCCGCACAAAACTCGTCAAACTTCTTGTTCGCCATTATCACTACGCACATATTTCACTCGCGCGTCCAGCTGGTTCTCCATCATGGCCTTGTACTTCTTGAAATAGTCCAGCACCTCTGACTTTGCCTTGAGGAAATAAATCACCACGAAGTAGAATAATCCTTGATAAAAGTCAAAGCGTAGCGAGCCTTGCCTTGCGAGCTCACACTCATAAGTCTCATCACGTCCGTATGTACGAGTTGTAGTACTGACGTAGTCTTCACGTTGCCTCGCACACTCACTGGAAACTTAGTCACGCTCGTCTTCCCCTTCATGCATCCATCACAGAGGCTTGTGGTGCTCGCAGGCGCAGCAGCTTGCTTCGGTAAATCATCACACGCCTTCCCAATACTCTCCAGTCGACTAGTAGCCACATGTCCGAGGCGAGCATGCCACAGCTCGACCTCCTGCTCTTGCTCAATGCTTGTCACTTCCTGACTGCTTTGCACTTGGTTCGCCATCTCGGCAACGGTTGCGTACAGCTTTCCAACCCGAGCTACCTCCATCAACTTCTCTCCTTGAAACGATATTTCACAAATCTTGTGGCGAAACACAACAGTGACACCCATGTCCGTCAGCGACGGAACCGAAATCAGTCGGCGAGTGAGGTTAGGCACATGCAGCACCCCTGTCAACGTAACCTTCGTACCGTTCAAAGCCTGAACCTTCACAGATCCAGTTCCCACAGCTCGCATCGATCCTCCATCTGCACTCGAGATACAAAATACCGTGTCTAACGGCTCGTACGTAGCAAAATCGTCACGGCAGAACGTCATGTGTGACGTAGCACCACTATCAGCCAGTTCGACGTAGCTTGTGTCGTAGCGAAGAATACATGCTCATCTTTGATCGCCAGACCGGCAGTCTGCTTGCCGATGACCAAATGCACCACACTTAAAACAGCGACCTCAAAAAAAACCACGCCCACCATTTTGTCCGCGACCACGACCGCGTCCTCCACGTCCTCCACGGCCTCCTCGCTGCCCAAATCGCTGCTGTCGAGGAGTTTGTTGGTTCTCATCTTGTCCACTCGCGCGCAGTGCACTCTCACCCGTTTCGCGCTCTTTCATCTTCTCGCTCTCGCGTAGCAGCATCTCCTTGGCCTCCATCATGTTCATTTCGCCCTTGTTCTCGATAATCTTTACGATCGCATCAAAATCTTCTGTCAAGCTGCCCAGCAAGATCACGAGCTGCTCATCTTCAGATAGCACCTCACCAACAGCGTTCATGGCCATCACCAGATTGTCAAACTTCAGTAAATGCTCCAATATCGTGTCGTTCTTTGCCATCTTGAACTCGTGCACCTTCTTCCTGAGCTGAATGCGGTTATGCATCGTCCTTTTCACAAAGAAGGACTCCAACGTCTCCCACGCCTCCTTGGCGGTACTTGCAGTCCGAATCATCGTCTGGTACTGCGTGCTCAGCATACGCGCGATCACAGCAAGTGCTTTGCGATCGGCTGACTTCCACTGCGCTGAGCTCGTGTCGATCCCGTCCTCTTCCTTGTACTCGACATGTTCTGCAAGGTCCTTGCGCGCTAGCGCCATACGCGCGTTAACCTCCCATAGGAAGTAATTTCCCTCGCGGAGCATCTCGTTCTCGTTCTCTGCGTTTGTGCTCATAACCTGTTGCACTTTGCGCTTTGACGGTAAGTTTGGCAGTGATCGTATTTGTCGTTTAGCAATTATCATCCTCACTACTGCTAGCTCTACCTGTGCTTCTAGAATTCTCTACTCTCGAGCATTCTCGAGCCTGCAAACACACCTGTAAGTCCTGTTCGCAGTCTCTCTCTCGCGTGCAGATCGCAGCTAGTTGCCTCACGTGGATTTGCTAGTAGCAACTTCAACAAGGTTTTTATTTAGATATCTGCGCAGTAACCTACATCCGTCCCCTAAGCCAAAGTTAAAGTGGTATTTAATCAATTTGAAGATAAGGGTGGAGACTACCCAAAACCATCCCGCTGCCTCGTTGTGCCCACTAAATGCGCTCTTCGATGAGTAATGGTCATACTAGAAAGCCTAATTATATTAGGCTTAAGAAAGACAGCGAAATAGTATCCTGTAAATTATAAAATACATGGAGTTCAATTTTGCAGCTTTTCTTGGCTTACGCACCATAGAGAATGTCAAATTTGTAAAAGCATAATGGCATACTAGCTAGAAATCCATGGTTTAAAGCGTGGGTTTGGTACGACAGAACATGCCAAACATATGCATTTACTGTTTCAGCACACAGCAAATCATTTGACTTGACTTATGTATTATTTTGACCTTCTGAGTGTCGCAATAAGACATAATCGACGATTACACCGTGCACCCTAATTAGTCGTGTGACTTAAATAGTCACGCATCGTACTTATACGAAAGTATACTGTGCATACACCTTAAATAGTCATACACCACAATTAAACATACACCAAGATTAGGCAACAGCAGCCATGTATTCTGTTACTATACTTTTCATTCGCAACCTCCAAGTGTTTTCTAACTTTAAAACAGGCATGGTAGAAGAAGTGCCGCGCAAGCTTTGGCAGATCGTTCCTCTCTGCGATCGTATACGGTGCACAGACTGGATGGAGCTGGCTCAAGCTCTCCGACGCTCTAAAGGTCTCTATGGTAGAACTATCGACTTATTTCCTTCGCTGTTTCGCTCCTCGGATAGAAGGGTGAGCATGAACAAGGCTCGCGACTGATGGAAGAAGCGTGTTGACACAGCTACAAGCCTAGAGGACCCTAAGCAGCTCAAGTATGCGAGTCGAAGACAACGTATCCGACATCAATTCTTTGTAAAAGCTCTGGATGGTAGGGGCGGCATATTATCGGAGCACTGGATGGGGCTGTACCCATTTTTACTGACAGAGTTTCAAAGACTACGGCGAGCTGGTGTCAAGCTCTCGAACCAGCTTGTCGCTGAAATGGGTGCCGTCCTCATTGAGGATAGCAAGCACCCACGCTTCAACTCTCGCTTTAGTGTCAAGAACAAGCTATTTACGAGTCTTCTGACTCCTCGTCGCGCTCAAGACTTCTTGGAGCGCTACAACATCGTCTACAGATACAAGGAAGCTACCAGGTCTGCAGATATTTAGTGGTACATTGTTTGTATTCATAATGCTTAAATGTATTTTCTGCTTTTTCCAAAAGGACTTACATGGCAGCTCCAGACCCCTAAGGGATCCTTCTGTGTTATCGCTGCACGCGGACTCGAGCCCCCGATATTGCGCGTGGAACGACGCGGCTAAATCTCTCCACCAATGCCGTCGTTTATTACGAAAGTGCAAAAATGTCGCTCGTGACCTTTCTTAGTATAAACCGGTAATAGTCGTTCACATAATTAAGTCGTGCACCAAAATTGATCATGAGCAATTTTGAGCATTTGGGGGATGCACGGTAAATAGTCGTGCCACGACTAATTAGGGTGAACGGTGTAGAGGTCACTGCAGAAAAGGGACCCGCTTGGCTGGGCGCCCCTTCGGCGCCCCCGCGCTCGCAATATGGAAATAGAATGTTCTGGAAAGTGTAGTGCTCGGCTCGCTGGTGAGCTCAGCACTGGGCCCGCCTCGCACCCGCTCACCTTAGTTGGCGCCGCGGCTATGGACCCACGTTGCCCAGCCCCTGGTGTGTTATCCCAGCGATGGGCGTGTGTTTCTCCTATTTTCTCGTTTGTTACAAGTACTGGCGGAGACAGAGGACATTTTTGAAATCTACACACGGTACAGTACCCCTTAAATCTAACTGCTACTAAAGGATGAGTTGTTGAATCCTCATAACAGATTGCAACATTCTGGTCCAAGGACTTGTGACGAGTACTACAGTATACCGCACGTCGAACGTTGTAATCAAATGTACTTATAACTTCCAGCGTTCAGTTGAGTACATGTAGCTGAACGCTGTTAGTATTTGATCACGGTGATCGATAGTATCGAATCGATACTACAATCACGAAAAATACTCACCATGTTCAGTTTGTGTTTGTCATATCAAAAATACTCACCATATTCAGTTTGTGTTTGTAAAAATACGAATCGTCGTGCGGTAATCAGTGATTACTAATCACAGCCCATGTACATGGCAACAGCACGACGATTCGTATTCATACAGCCACGAAAAATATTCAGTAAATTCAGTTCCTGTTTGTCGTATCGAACTCAGTGATCAAATTTGAATATCTACCTAGCTGCAGAGACCAAACACGCTTTTATTCTACCATACTGACGGTAATTTACTCAGGCTAGCCGTGACTGCGGAAACAGCGGCCAACAATGAAAGTATGGATTATGATCGTAAAACAGATATATCTTACGTCAATCGTGCAATTCTTCCATCTTGCTGTATGGTGCTTACAGCGTCCAGCGAGCTGACAAAACCATGTCGAATATACAGCAGTGGAAGTGAGCGAGGGGTGCCGCAGCAAACCCGCACGAGTGTCTCGCAGGGTATCCAGGATTGCGCGGTCGGTAAGGCAGCGCAGAAACCCAAATAATTTCTCAAAAGTAAGAACCCCCCCAGCACAGTTCGTCTTTAAACATTTCAGAGCCATGAGCCATAAACCGTGAAAATATCGTTTAGTTATAACAGCGATGATAGAACACAAGATACCGCTCGCTACCGTAATTAACTTGTCGCGGCTGCTAAGACAACGAAAGATGCGGAATGATTAATCTCGATGAGGAACAAGACCACATCGGGTGAAGGTTCGATTCCCACATTGCAATTTGCTCCAAAGCTGTCAGATGTTGACACCCAGTGCACTCATGCGCCTCGCCCTCATCTTCGCTGTGATCGCTGCAGCCTGTCTAGCTTCCAGTGAAGCCTTCGCTACGAGTCCCGGCAAAGCTAAGATATCTAAGGTGACTTTACTTGATGCGCCAGGTCAAAGACTTCTAAGGGCCCACCGCGCTGCTGTTGAAGACGAAGATGACTCCGCAGAGAGGGGTCTTAGTGCCAAAGACTACGCGGCACCAGCCAAATATGGTGATGATTTGGGGATTGACGTGGCGAAAGCTACCAGAAACACTGCGTACTTGAATGAGGTGGCAGAGCAGTACCAAAAGTACAAAGACTTTCTGAATCAGTTGATTCAAAGTCGCAAAACAAAGAGATCCTCGATGATTTCGTATGAGCGTCGCGGGTGATTTTGTGCATCTTCGGATCAAGCAAGTGAAGTTTTGAACAAGCAGCATGTGAGTCGCAAGTATTGGAGATATACTGGTTGGGTTGGTTACGCTCTAAAAAAAGAAATGTTTTTGCAATTTTCGTCTTCCGATTTTTTTTCGATATTAAAACTGACCCTTCAGCTACCATGCTGGCTTCAGTTATCGACGTCAGCAAAACTGGATTGGGAACACCATTTTTTTCGCAGTTGTACATATAGCTGACCTTAGTGCTGGTGTGTACTGCCAGCACCTGTATCTTGTTCGCGTTCACTGTTTGGCGTGTTGCCACTGACAACTCAGTGATTCTGCGTACGTTCTCCTGTGTCTATTGGCACAATGTAAACGCTGTTTCTCTTGTTTCCACTGCCACTACATGTACAGACTACTGTATACCACTGTAGTACGAAGGTCGTGATGATTAAATGGATTTACTAGTAGTATTTGGTCAATTTAGTATGTCTGTATAGTAAGCCGTACAGGAAGGCTCTTGAAATCTGAACTGAAAGCATCACTTAGAGGCTGTCCGGGGAAGTGAGAGTATGCGTTCGAGGCTTGTAGTTAAAAAACTGAAATCGAAAGTGTATTGAGTCAGTTGCTCTTGTCTTGCTTTGCTAGCTCTTTTCTACTTTCCTCCATAGTCCTCCTAATCACATGTAAATCCATATACAAAAGATACATTTCGTCGACAACGCCTATACTCGTCATAGGCGTTGCCGACGTAAATCACTTAAGTTTTGAATGTGGACTGGATATGCACAAATCTGACCCTGACATTAACCATTTGGGATCAGCCAATCAGATAGCTCCATTCGACCCACTTTGTAACGGGGTACGTAGCCCTAAGTGTACCCTGGTTACATGAAGTATGACACGTCATACTTCGGGATATTTGGTACAAGGTACCAAGGTCGTCCAAAGCCAACTATTGGTTGATGACATTGCATTTCTATAGGTGACTCTACTCGCTTGTGTTGGGATTCATACTCGAGTGCAAGCGCTACAATTCGTTTGTCTTGTGCGTCGGTGAAGCTGGCCCGCATAGCAAAACATACTGAGAGAGAAGGCATGCATCTAATCTAGGAATACTATAGTTGATACCAGCACGATTGGTGGCTCTCGGGCTGGAGCCTCGACCAAATTTTTAGGATAGGTCTTAGGATCTGCTAGCCTTGTTTACAACACGTTTTTCTCTTGCGTCTAATGCGGCTACCAGCCGAACCGCAAATACGACGCTATGCTGGCCGAAAAAGATACACGCTCTCGCGATATTCACAAATCAGTTTCGCCAGTCGGCACAAAAGGATCTACCAGAAGCCGTAATCCGAAGATCTTATTGGAAAAAACAAAACAAGGTGTGGATTTTGTAGAACGCGGCAAAATGCCGCGTTTAAAGGGTCGTTTTCCTACCCTCTTTTGAAAAACATGTCAAGCGCGGCATTTTGCCGCGTTTGACCACGAAAGGGTTAAACCCAAACTTAACCTACCTATAAATATACTCAGTTTACAATCTACCTTATTTAGGTCACTTCGCTCTCTTTAACTAATTAGCCAATAGCACGGTACTGTAAGGCGGGTATTTATTATTAAGCAAAATATAAAAATGCTTATAGTATTAATATTTTGGTTTTGCTATAATAATATTTTTATAAAAGTTTAAACAAATACATACTTTACATACAATAAAAGTGATTAAAACATTATGTACCGTGCGCGCATGCATTCGTCGAGTGTGGTGAACGGGAGCAGATAGCGCAATGACCGTGCAGCCGCGCGCCTTCATTGCACGGTGGCAGTGGTGAGTGCCAGGTGAAGTAAAAAAGATAGATATTCGCAAAGTCCCTACAAAAAGCGCTGGTCGTGAAGCCTACTTTAATATTAAAAAATACTATCGTCTCTACTTTATAAAGTGTGTGGAAAATAGCATCGCCGAGCTCTTACAAATGCGGCCTGTGAAGCTTATATTAATAATATTAATACTATTAATGTCGTCTTTACCTTGAAAAGTGTGTGGAAAATAACATCCCAGAGCTCTCACAAAATACTGGTCTGTGAAGTCTACATTAATAATAATAAATATATATTTGAGAAGTATGGAGAGCTCTTAGAAAATAAAGTGGTTACTGTGCCCGATTTGAAGTACATACGACAGGTTTTGCGTAGCTAAATGTAAATACGCAATCGTCAGCACAGCTCGCCTTGGTGCTTACATCCAATCAATGTGTTTCGTTCGCGGCAGTAATGTTAACCTTTCGTCCAATCGCGAGGGCGAGAGAAGGTCTGGTCGTGCAACAGATCCAGTCAGTGTCGCAGGTCGGCAGATATTGGCCAATCAGGGCGCGAGTTATTGTGTGACGCTTTTGGATAGATTTGTAATTTTGGTATATTTATGTCAAGTCAGAAAGATAGGCGCGGTCGGTACGATGGGAAGAAACTCTATTAGAAAGGCCGAGTGTAGCCATGCGAAAAGGCAAGAAAAAGCAGCAAGAAAGGAACCGGACGGACTTATTGACAGACGGACAGACACGCTACAAGGTTAGAAGCGGAGCGACTAGCGCTCTGGGCGCCCGCTCCGCGGACGCTAGGGCATGGTTGGTTGGTGTAGAGAGGGGCGACCACCTCCGCTGCGCTGCGGTGGGCTTAGAATTTCTACTTGGACCACAGCTACATATAATATAAGTATGCTGTGATCTACTTATGCTACGTTCCAAAACAACACCGCACACAGTATCTATAGTGCTCACATGTTATGGTAGACATGGCCAGGGTTTATCGTGATCTGCAAGATGAGCACCATCTTAGCCGGGAGGGTTTTGTCAAGTCAGAAAGATAGGCGCGATCGGTACGATGGGAAGAAACTCTATTAGAAAGGCCGAGTGTAGCCATGCGAAAAGGCAAGAAAAAGCAGCAAGAAAGGAACCGGACGGACTTATTGACAGACGGACAGACACGCTACAAGGTTAGAAGCGGAGCGATGATTGGCCAAACGATTTGCGCTTTCCGTGTGTCATCGAAATAGCCTTAAAAATTCTATTCGATCAGTCTAATGAGGCAGGGGTTAACATTTTAGCTACTGGGCGGATTTGCCCTTCGTAGAGGTTCGGATAGATAAAACAAAAATATAAATTGCAATTGGGTATAATAGAGTCAAATGATTTGTAAAAGCTGACGTAATACAGATTAAAAAATGTAAATCGCAATTGGGTATAATAGAGTCATATGATTTGCAAAAGTTGATGTAATACTGTATGATAGGGGTCTCTACCTCATAATTTTCCAACAAATGTTTGCAAATTATGAGCAAAACATACATGTGACGAATTGTATTAATATTTGGTAGAGGTCATATTGGACCCGTAACAAAGGATCAGTAGTTAAAGGGTTTATAGTAACTCCAAAATTGGTGAAGTTATTGTCAATTCCGTCCAAATTCTTACTTTATTACCTACTGACCGAATCGCACATTAAACCCACAGGCTGATCTGATTGGTCAAAATAGAAGCTAAGCAAATTCGCTTCAGCAACTTCCCACTCGCACTTCTGCAGCAACGTATTGCCTGGCGGAGGTGTGCATTATTATGCAAGGGTGGTGCAGCGTCTAACCTGGTGGAGATGTGTAGTATTATGCATATCAATTTCATTAAGCTAATGTTATTGTTTTGCAATGTTGGACAGAAAGAGCCTAGTCATAACATTCTCGTATTAATGGAGGAAGCCGTAACAAGCCGGCATGACCACCCCAACACTGAATTTCATTGCCTCTACGGATGTTACTGCCTCGGATATTCGCGTAAGGACCTTGCTCGAATTTATCACAAATCGGCAAAGACGATTGGGAGCTGAATCAACGTCTACGAAAAAACCGGGACTTACCAGCATGATGAAGCAAGTTCAACGCGAGCACTGACAAAAGCACATCTAAAGTAGCTATTTGAGCGCTACAAGATGCAACCGCTAGCCTATTTCGAAGAGGCCCAGAAGTTTACTCAAGGCTCATCAAATGAGCATTTTGAAAACATCTGTGTTGAAAAAACTGCACGATTGTGGATTTACTCACAAGGCGCTTTAGCGAAGAGCGATGCATATCAAAGACAAAGACGTGTTTCGCTTTGTGGAAGAGTCAGCTCTGTCGACCGGTGCCACCGAATCATTGTATTTTAGATGAAGTTTCATTTGATAAAAGTGGAATGACCCGCAAGCGAGGTTATTAGCTTGGGGGACACAAGATTGCAATTCGTGGTGATTTTCAACGTAAGCCACGCGTTTCAGTCCTGGTGTTTCTGGGAGTTGATGGCATCATTGACTATTATATCACTGACAGAACATTCGAGCAAATCAAGTTATTCACGTGCTGCAGCGATTTTGCCTTTTCAAGTCGTACGGCCTCGCTGAGGTCGTTCCGCGTGGTGATAGACCTCGAGGAGCGGTCGATGACACTGAAAAAGAAGGGAGACGTTATCCCGTTAGGTGCGACAAGAGTAGAAGAAACCTACGCGGCTACAATATCGTCGACGGTGCGTTTGGAACCCGGACGTCAGGCCTTAGTGAGATCGAGCGTTCGTGGAACGATGAAGGGCCACTCATTTGTGTTGGTCGAGTGCGTTCTTCCCGGAACGGACGCGTCTTTGAGAGTCGCGAGGACGTTGTGTTCCGTGACGGATGGAACGGCGTTGGTCGAGGTGCGTAATGCTTCCGTGGAAGAGGTAGAGATCAAGTCGGGCGCGGACGTCGTTGCCGTGGCTATCGTTCCCTAGTCTGCGGTCACTACCAGGACTTCTAAGCCAGGTGGAGCGACCAGGAACATATGCGCAGTGCTGAGTACGGTGAAAGAGAACGTGACGGCCGGAGTTGGAGCGAGCGAGGCTGTGATGAGTGCCGCCATGCACGACAGCGAGGAAGACGACTTCGAAGAGGACGTTGAAGACTCGTCACTTGGAGCAGAGCAGAGGAGCCTCTTCGCGAAGATGTTGAAGGACCTGAGG